TTGCGTGCACGTTGAGGAACCCCCTGCAGGTGGTCGAAATTTCCGGAGCCCTCCACTATACGGCGTCTCTCATAATCATTATGGTGGTTTTGGGACGCTAAAGCCTACATATCAAAAGCAACAACGAACTCTTTGGCGGCAGCAAGACCATCTGCACGTGATCACCTTTCGTGTACATCACTGTACATTTGCCATAGCTAATTACTTTCTACCGGTGAATATTTTAGGTATTTTCTATCGCAAGTGATAAACTTCCCGAGCGAAGCTTCCCGAAAACGGCTGCAGTATATCTATAAATAAACTTGTATCTTGGTTTGGGAAAGCCGACCCGATGAAAATCCGACAGAGTATACGCGTTGCCTAGAGACTTGGAGCCGGTCGAACGTCATCAGTAGGTATAGGCTGAGCAATTATGCGAGCATACGTGTTTCCTGCGATGCCGCGAGAAGCTAAGCAACCGCAGGAAGACTGTGTCTTGACCTTGTTTTCCGGAGAATGATGATTTATTAAATGCGAAGCATTTCTTAGCGAACTTCGGCAACTTAGAGGGTATCTATCTATCTATCTATCTATCTATCTATCTATCTATCTATCTATCTAGCCGCTTACGTTTGTGTGCTCTCGTGGTGACCTCATTCACTTGGCGTGAACCAAAATTAGCATGGGAGGGTAAGATGGTTTGACAAATATCACGTGCAGGTCAAGACATGAATAATGCCACAATCCCATTGCGTACGTCGTCAAGCACTTCCCGCCAGACAGTGGCACGTATACCCACGGGCGGGTATGTGCCGCTGGTACGCGGGTGTGTGTCACAAGTGATCGACACTTAGTATCTACCCAGCAACGACGAGAACACACATGGGCAATTTTAACGTGCGAGCGTTAAGAAATACCCGACAGCGTAGCGTCGGCAAAGAATGAGTGTCACGGTCCCAGCTGGAATCGAACCCAAGCATTCTGCGTGGCAATGAAGCATTTTACCACCGAGCTACGCCAGGTCCCGGAACTACTTTTCAAATAGACGCTAGTCTTCGTCAAACGTCAATAGTGGTCGCAGCGCTGCCGACCCAATTTTATAAACATTACATATGCTACTTCTTTGATACAGTCGTAACTTCGGGTTAACGTCAATTGTGGTTAGTTGCCATGCGCTGAAGTTGATTTACGTAGCAGTGTCCAGGGCCAGCATCCTCGCGAGCATTAGCGCTTCATATCAGCTTTGGTGTTGCTAATACGCATGTTCCAGTTGGCATGGTTGCTCAGGTGCAAACAACTGGCTTTATGAGCAGCTGCAACTCTTCAACGTATGTCTGTGCGTGCAGAATTTGTACATATATTTAGCATCATTTCATGACGTGTCACTCAATAAAAAAATTGTAACACGGTCACCTTCTCTCCGCATGCTTCGCATATCATCGATTCCCAAGTACGTGGGATCGGCCCAATTTTTTCACATCCTGAATTACGGCATCCCGTCGAATGTTTTCTGTCTTGAGAGGGAAGACCAAGGAACCGATTTATAAAACGATCCATGTTATCGGTGCTTCATGGGTGACGTTGTGACACACACACACACACACACACACACACACACACACACACACACACACACACACACACACACACACACACACACGCACACACGCACACACACACGCACACACACACACACACACACACACACACACACACACACATATATATATATATATATATATATATATATATATATATATAATTAAGAAGTAAAGGAGCACCCTTACGAAAATTTGATAGTTTTGTACGCGACGTTTCGGCCGTGGCATGACCGAAGCGTAGAGTAAAAAACTATCAAATTTTTGTAAGTGTGCTTCTTTATTTCTTAATTATATTTGCACTGGACCCACAACTTCTTTATACATACATATATATATATATATATATATATATATATATATATATATATATATATATATATATATATATATATATATATATATATATGAGAGAGAGAGAGACTGCTATCTATCATTAGGGTTCGGGAGATATTGTCGTATGTATAATATATTGCGAGGTTGGACTTGGAAGGCGCCAGACAGACAGACAGACAGACAGACAGACAGACAGACAGACAGACAGACAGACAGACAGACAGACAGACAGACAGACAGACAGACAGACAGATAGATAGATAGATAGATAGATAGATAGATAGATAGATAGATAGATAGATAGATAGATAGATAACCAGTATTTAGAATTGGACATAGGGAGATGACTAGGAATGACCGTATGCTTACGATTATGTTTACGTGGGAGCATTGGGTGTCCCACGTTATTTACTTGAGGGATCTGTGGTAGTGCCATCGTTTAGTCACCTTGGTAATGCTGGCAGCAATCGCCTAGTCTTCCTTCTTGTGGCTCGCAACGCACTTGCCACTTTGTTCATCGTCGTGTCGCGGGGCTCGCGGTTTCTGTTTCGGATGAAGGAACGGCCCGTTTTTTGAGAATTGCGAGCAGATTTCAACTTGTCAGCTTCAAAGGGTCAATACGTTAAAGTGGAATTGCTATATTCTTCTAATGGTAACCTGTTTAAAAATTAAGCAAGAAAAGCTACAATCCAACAGAATCTTAGGAAAATCCATGTACCGCCCATCATTTCTGTGCTGGTTGAAGCGCCACGAGTTGCAGCGCCCATAGGCACTAGCGTTAATTACTTTCTAGGACCCCAGGTGGACAAAACAAATCCGGAGTCATGCCCCCCCCCCAACCCCACCCCCACCTATATCCACACTACGACGTGCCGAATAATTAGATCGAGATCTTTGGAAGTAATAACCCATAAAAAAAATGAATCAGAAATAGCTGTCGTTCGCATCCTCATACTTCGTAGTTGACAAAACCGAGAGTTTCATTGACCCGGCCTTGAATGACTTCGTGCGCCCTCTAGCGAAAGTAACGGGCTGGCGCCAACCAACCAGAAAAACTGGAACCGAAGGAAGTGCTTCTCCATTGTCTGGCTCTGATAGCACCGTACACACGACTTAATGGAAACTTCACGGAGGATTAACCGCGCACAATGGGTGAGCCCTGTTCTCTTGACTGTGTCACGCAGCGTGCTCTCGTGCCGTAGTCAAGTGACACGGTGACGGAGAGGATATGCGGGGCTGCAGAACCTGATAACACGAATGAATTTCACGGTGTCCACAACAAAGCCCGCTATCTTGATCGAGACTGCAAGCGCAGATGTGTTCACGCACGCTCCTGCGCATAAATGTAATAAAAGAGAAAATGAAGATGCGGCAGTGGAGAGGGCTTCCGGGAGCGTCAGCGTTCGGAAATACAGGTTGCTGTGCCCTGTAGCAGTCCATGCATGGGGCGTCTATGTAAGACTACTGTGGGAGAGCTTGTTGTTGGACACATGACAGTTATAACGAAAGCAAGAAACTTGCAGCGCGGTGAGGATCTTGAGCAGCTCTTGTTTCTGTAGTTTTGACTCTTTCTTGTGAAACCGTGTGGTCTACTTGCAACTTTCTGAGCATCCTGGGGACCTATGAAGCGGACTCCATTATTCAACTTTTTATATTCGCATTGAGCACAACAATACAGCCGTGCTGCTTCCAAAATATCTCCCACAAACCGACCCTCATCCTGCTGAATTCCGTCACTGATATCATCATCATCATCATCCTGACTACGTCCACTGCAGGGCAAAGGCCACTCCCATGATCCGCCAATCAACCTCGGTCCCGTGATTTCCGTTGCCACGTTATACCCGCAAACTTCTTTAATCTCATCGGCCCACCTAACTCTCTGTCTCCCTTTCGTGCGTTTGCCTTCTTTGGGACTCCAGTCAGTTACACTTAACGACCACCGGTTATCCTGCCTATACGTGCTGCCTGTCCGGCCCATGTCCATTTCTTTTTCTTGATTTCAACTATATGATATCCTTAACCCCGGTTTGTTCCCTGACCCACTCTGCTCTCTTCTTGTCTCTTAATGTTATACCTATCATTTTCTTTTCCATCGCTCGCTGCGTCGTCGTCAATTTAAGCCGAACCCTCTTTGTGAGCTTCCAGGTTTCTGCTCCGTAAGTAAGTACTGGCAAGATGCAACTGTTATATACCTTCCTCTTGAGGGATAGTGGCAATCTACCAGTCATGATTTGAGAGTACTTGCTAAATGTGCTCTACCCTATTCTTATTCTTCTAGTTACTTCAATCTCGTGGTTCGACTCCGCGGTTATTACCTGTCGTAAGTACACAAAGTGCTGTTTTTTTTTTTCTGCCGACATTGTTGCACATTACTTTCGTTTGTGCATATTGTTTTCAGACCTACTTTTCTGCTTTCCGTGTCCAGTTCAGCAATCATGAACTGTAATTCGTCCCCTGAGTTACTCATCAAGGCATTGTCTTCAGATAGATAGATATGTGAGGTTTAACGTCCCAAAACCACCATATGATTAAAGGCAATGTCTTCAGCGAATCGCAGGTTACTAAGGTACTCTTGATTAACTCTTATCCCTAACGCTTCCCAATCTAGGGTCCTGAAAAACTGATCTAGTGGCTACATTATAATGCATGTCGCCCTTCTCCTACCTCGTTCATCATTGCAGCTACGGCTATGGGCCGCTCCGCTGTTATGTTCCGTGCTTCATAAGTGGCCGACGCTCTCTTTCGTGGACCAACCTGGCCCCACTTCCGGCAAGTCAAACTTCGCAAATCACTTTCGCTTGTTGTCTCACTGTCCCAGAACCGGGGTTCTTCTCCATACCGGGGCTCTTCGACCGCATGCCCTATCGCGGCAGTATAGCGACGTTCTAACGTGACGGATGCCCCCAGAACAGACCTGCCGAGCTAGCTAGCGAGCGAGTCGGGCCCGAAAAGCCGGTCGCTCCTCCCTACGCCGGCGCGGTTGCGTTGGACTCGACCCAACCCGTTTCCGGCGTGCGCGCTGCCGCCTCCAGCGCCGCCAGCCGCCTTGCGTCGCAAATAACTCAGTCACTGTGTCGACAGCGACTGCGAGCGGCGAGAGACCGCACGCTCTGCTGCCGCCGCACTTGGCTTGGAGCTCCCCTCGCACGCGAGAGACGCCGCACAGACCGGACCTCGGAGCCGGACCATGCAACCGCAGTTCACCTGCTGAACCTGTGCGCAACGTCCCAGCTCCGCACCTGCCGCAGCCGGCCTGCCCATCCTCTTCTGGGTCGTGAAGCAGGAGGGGTGAAAGCGCTCCCCTCGCCGGTAACCCCCCTTCCTCGGGCTAACCCCCCACAACCTTCCTTTCTTCGGCTCTTTTGAAAAGAGCAACCTCCCTCCACACTACAACCAGGATTCGTCCCGCCACAGGACCCCGCTTTCGACCTCGAGTTTGGTGATTGATTTGTCGTTTTGTGTGTGAATGCCACCACTGCGTGTGTGTAGTTGTTTCTGCTGCCGCCGTTTCACACTTGTGTCGCGCTCTACTTGAGAGAAAGGAGAGAAAGTCCTGCGATGCATCGTCCCATGCGCCGGGCAGCCGTGCCGGCGAACCCTGGTTCGGCCTGAGCCGAGTACTACTTCAACCAGCGTCGTCTGCTGTCGGTGTTGGTGGTGCGGCGTTCGAATACGTCGGACGCGCCTTCTTAAAAAAAAATATTGGCTCTGTCTTCGTGCGGCAACCGACGGAACCGGCTGAATAATGATCATCTCCAAGGATCTGTTCATCCTCGGCGACGAGTACTTGACCATGCCGAGACAGGACAAGTACACCGTGTGCTCGAACAGAAGGTCAGTGGTGTCTTTTTTTTTTATCTTTGTTTGCTCGCTATGTTTAATCCTGCCAACGGAACGTTCTGAAGGATGCGAAGAAGTACAGCACCATCTATTGCCTCTTAGTTTCGACCCTGATTTTTTAGTTTCGCCTTTCCCGCGTGTTCTTTTTTGTTTTTTGTTTTTGACAGGTAATCGTCGTGATCTCGTAAGAAACCTAAGGAGGCCACGTCGTGCACGTGGTCGTTCCTTGTGTTATGACGTTTGCCGGCTTTCGCGCGCGATTTGTGAACGCCGCAGATTAAAAAAAAAAAAAGAAATGACAGATTTCTTCTACCACAACATTCGTCGAGAAAAAAAAAACATTCTACGCTTTTGAAGCGTTCGTTGTCGGTAATGCGTGTTATGCGGCCGCGTTTCCTTTTTCTTTTCCTTGACACATGTCGATCGCATACGACTGTCACACATGGGATGAGTTATTACTTCGCGTTTTTGTTGGGTGAGTGCTAGCACTGTTTCGCGACTTGATCGCTGAACACTGCTCTCACTACACACCGAGGGAGATCCAGTTAGAGAAGGTCAGTAAACTCGTTCGCCTTTCGAGATAGTTTCAGTTGCATGCAGTGAGGGTGCCACATGACAACTCGAACACACACGTACACTTCGCACATCGCTTCATTCGAGCCGCGAGCGCACTTCTTTGCCCCGTCTTTTTGCTTACAGCAGTAACACCATGCGAGCGACATACACTGCAATGTTCGCGAATAAAAAAAAAGGACGAAATCCTTCCTATAGTACACTGCCCTACGGCGGGGTTTCACTGCCCTCATCCATCCCTTCGCAATCTCCACTCTCTTCCCCTCTTCCAACATTGCGCTGTCGGCTGTGTCGCTCGGTCGGCGCGCTCACCTCGTTGCACCATCCCCCCCTACCCTCTCTCTTCCTCTTCTCAATCTTCATCTAGCCCCCTCCCTCATCCCTTGAGACGACCCCTTGCTTATCTCGATTTGACTCTTATTTTTGCGCTCTTGACGGGTGAATCTGGGAAGAGGGGGGAGGAGGGGATGTTCTGTCTCGCCGTAGCTTCGCACTCCTCGGGCTGCTGGTTTCAGTACTTACACGCGCGCGATAGAGCTTGAGCTGCCAGGCGTCACGTTCACGCTCCCTCCTTCAGTTTCCTCTTCTTCTCCACTCCTCGTCGAGGGAGAGGTGCGCCTAGCCTTTCGAACTTGACTCCCCCGGTCGGCAGATAACGCCTCGGGCGGGCAGTACCTTACCGCTTGTGCAGTACGCGTGGCAGATTCTTCTCTTCGTTTTTTTTTTTTCCTCTCCGCCCAAGGTGTCACTTTGGCTGTTCCTCCGTGTCGTCGGTGATGTACCTACTCGTGGAAGCGCCGTGAGTACCAGCCACGCTCGTAGTTTATAATAATCTACTGCTGCGGCAGCCAACCTAGTTCCTTCGCTTCACCGTACGCGAAAATCGACTCGCGGAATTCTTTCTTTCATATATACCGTGGGGAGACGTTCAGGCAGCAAGTCACTTCTTAATCGACATTCGAGCCTGAGCGCCGCTACTCATACCCAAGGGGTGATTATGAGCATCTAGAAGTGGTGAAATGAATACGAGTAATGCTCCCAATTTATATTCGCCTGTTCCCGTCTGTTCTTACTCGTGTGCCGTGTTTTGTTTGTTGCGCAATTCAGGATGGTTACTATGTCAAAATACCAACTCTCCCAACAGTCAACTGTCTCTCTCTCTCTCTCTCTCTCTCTCTCTCTATATATATATATATATATATATATATATATATATATATATATATATATATATCCGTCATTTGCAATGAGATTGGCGTGTTTTGAAAATCAGCTGACTGATCCCAATGAACGCACGATGAGCTTCGAGGTTTACACCTCAATGTTAAAGCTTACGATGTAGAGAATGTTTCCCGTGTTATTCGTTGCCAATAACGCTCCTACTGTCTTGGTGAGGACATAGGTCTGATCCCTGCTACAGAACTGCATACAGTCAATTCTGTTGATCAGGGGCTCTTTGATCTCGTCTCAGAAAGAGTTGCTCGCAAGTGTACTCATGTAACACCGCTGGCGGAGATTCGTAGTGAAGTTATTTCCATATGATATCGTTGGTGGAGGCACTAGCGCGTCGCGATTAGTGGTCGCAAGCCCCGGATTTATCACGATATCCTATACTAATAAGATGGTCACTGGCTATAGCGCCGTTAAAACAGTCACGTGAGGGAGCGTTTACGCATCGCACGCGCACAGATTAGGCGTTATAGACAGAAGTATCGCAGAATGTACATGTTCTTACCTTTGAGTTGCATGGGACGCTTTTAGTCGCGGCGTTGCTCATTCTGCATCAGGCATCGGCTTGTTACCGCGTGGTTGATTAATCCTTGCTGCCAGCCTCTTATTTGCTTATAGTTTCCCGCCCTGGTTGCCAGACTGGCGGTTGTACCCGCCGCCTCGCTGGTCACGTGCACTGACCGCGAAGTCAGGCCGCTGTTCGTTTCGTGGCTGTCGGGCCGTTCCACGCGCTTCCCGCACAGCCGCAACGCACGTGGCGGGACCCCAACCGCGCGCAAGCGGGGGACAAATAAGCCAATTGGCGACGCTGCGGAGGGTGAAAGAGCGTCGCCGATTGGCTTATTTGTACCACGCTTGCGTGCGGTAGGGGTCCCGGCTCGTGCGTTGCGGCTGTGCGGAAAGCGCGTGAAACGGCTCGTACGTGCGCATTTCTAGGCGGGCCTCGGAGGCCCCACTGATGATTCATGGGTCTAATTGGACACGAAAACCGCGCTCGTCGATGTGTACTGCGATATGCGGTATAATACCTGCGGCCGGGCGACGGGTGGGGGGGGGGGGGGGCATCGCTATCTTTTCATTCGTAGCAGCTGTTGATGCAGCGCATGCGATAAATGTTGCGGCCAGCAAAACAGGCCGCCCGTTTTCTTTGGTGGTGCTCTTCTTTATTTGGCGGCATTGCCTCCCAGCAGCAGTGGGCAAGACGGGCGAGATGAGGCATGTATAGAGGGAGAGGGCGAAGCTCAAATTGAGAGGAGGGTCGCTATAGTCGGAGCGGTTCAAGAGTCGGTGCGCGCGCGTGTATGTGCCCGTATGTGCGTTCGTATGTGTGCGCATATTGTGCGAAAGCTGGTACCTTGTCGAAAAACTTTCATCTACATGCGAGGCAGGCAAGGCACGATCGCTATCTGCCACGCGTGCGAGGTTGTTGCGTGCATGGGAAAATTTTCCAGATCGCGCGGAGAATGCAATCTCGTCACTTCGTTCGTTCGACTTTTTTTTCCGCCTTTCTCGGAAAACGTCTTCATGTTTGCGTTTATTTTTTTTTTCGTTCGTGCCTCGTCGTGTCGCGTATTTGCGATTCAACGAACATGCTCGGTGGCCCCGAAAGGAAACGCGGTCACCTGAGCGCTGGCCAGCAGGTGTGCATCGTCCTCGGCATCTCATTAGGAAAGTGGTCCGTGTTCGGCCAGTTCTATGCCGCGAAAACCGTCGGATGGCGAAGCTGTAATGATGATGATAATGACTTTAGGTACAAGAAGGTCATCGTTACAATTTCGGATATCGTCGTCATCATTATTTCGTTTTATTTATCTCTCTATTCGCTACTCCCTCTATAGTACCGTGAGCTGCGTGATTACTGCTACTATACTACCATTACGATGACGAGTACGACACAGGGTAGACTAATCGGCATTAATTTAACCTGCTAAGGAATCACGTATTGTGAATAATTTGTAAGTCATTGCGAGTATTCCTATTCATTTCTTTCTTTATTAAAATTTTTTATTCGTCTCCCGAAAAATTACCATATTATATTAAACAGATAACTACGAAATTCCTTTGCCTTTCTCCTGCATAGACCTTAATTTTTCGCTTACATTAACCGCCGACTTCTTTCGCCGATCCCCCGTAGTGCGCCGAAATAGAGGATGAAGCAAGCAAGCAAGCTTCGCCGCAATTTGGGTGCACGTTAAAGAACCCCAGGTGGTCGAAACTTCCGAAGCCCTCCACTATACGGCGTCTCTCATAATCGTATAGTGGTTTTGGGACGTTATACCCCACGTATCAATCAAAGCTTCGCCGCGAAACAACTGATCTATAGCATCCCTACTGAAACGTTCCGTATGCGATGTCCAATAATTCCGTATGTTTCCGTAAGAATCTTACGGAAATATATGGGAAACATATGTATTCTTTATGGAAACATATGGAATTATTGGACTCGCATACGGGACGTTTCAGTAGGGATATACGCCGCGTTGCGGACTTCACCCGTTATCACAAGCACCACGTGTGCCGCAGAGTGCGTATTATTACGGAGTAGAGTGCGTATATTGCAAAGCCGCAGATAAGCGGCTTCGCAGCATACCCGCAGTCGGCGCCCGATTGGCACCATGCAGGGGTGGCAGTTGGCGCAGATGTAGCTTAATAGAGGATGGAGTCATGGTTGCACAGGGTCAGAACAGTTGGTAGCGCACCGCGTTTGTGGATTGAATGAAACATGAGAGGGGAGGGGGGGGGTCAACGCAATTGGTTTTGAAGAGAGGATGGCTTTCGCCGTTGATTGGTCTGTGGCAAATGGACCGTGCGACGTTTTTATGTGAGCGGTTTCAAACAAGAGCAGTCAGAGTTGGAAAAAAAAAATCTAAAAGACATGAGCTGCCTCTTTCCGTCCTCTGTTTGTCACGAGTGTTTCGAATCGCGTGCGTCGCTTCTTCTCCAACCAATATTCTCTCCGATATTCGGGGTGTTCTTCAAACGCTGTCTCTACCGCGGCCCTCTTTTGCCGGATCTATTTGCGTGCAGTGCGTGGTTCGCGCTCTCATTTAGTGAATGTCGGGATGTTCGATGGGAATTAGCGGCTTGACCTTCGACATTTCGGCATCGGTGGATGCTCACTCACCCCTCTCACTCGCGGCGTGCAAGGCCTCTCATTTCGACTCGGCCAGTGCTTATCGGTTCGGCGCAAC